GACCCGAAATGACAGGCTAGTGGAGTCAGCGCCTTGCCATACCCTGGTGATTTTGACGCACATGTGCTGTGTGCGACCTGAACCCCAGGCCTGCAAGGCCAGTGACCTCTGGGCCGCTTTGCTGCCAGAAGCCTGCTGAGTGCACATATTCCCGCTGTCTGACACTGGCAGGAGACGCCCCAACAGCCTATAAAAAGCCCCAGACTCCCTTACTGACAGGGCCAGCTGCATCTAGTGCTAGAGAGGGGAAGAAACCCCAGTCACAACATTATAATTTAAAATAAAAAAGGGGCCAGCTGGGCTGCGGAATGCTGATCGCAGTGCTGATCGCAGTGCTGATCGCCATGCAGGGCCATCGCGGACTGAAGGCTCAGGGGCTGCACTGCACAGCCTGACGGCGCCTGCAGGGAGGATCCACTGTGATCAGGAATTTTGTACCTTCTAATCTTCTCCTGATCCCCATCCTCAAATAACAGTCCATCCTCCTCTATGTAAACACTCGCAGTACGTTTAGATAACTGTAAATATTTCACATCTATTATAACATTCTCGTTCCCCGTCGCTCACATTCCGTTACACAGTGAACATGTGGTGGAATTAAGGGGCTCGGAATCACGTGTCTTTGCTTTTGAAGCTTGTAACAAATCGTGGCTGAAAAAATAAAAAGTGAAATCATTGCATTTATAGGTTGTTTGGTACTCTGTGTTTGGAAGCATCTCCAATAAGCACCTCAGGATGTCAGGTGTGTGAGATCTTACGTCCAGCTCTGGGCAGCTCCCTGAAGAGCACCCAGGGTGAAGGCAGCACCTACTGACCCAGTAGCCTGGAAAACTTCATGACCTCAAGTTCTCTCAGGATGAAATCCAGTTGGTCTGAGATTATCGTAAACTGGGGCTCTGTCGCAGACAGGCCTAATCCTCGGGACTGCCGCTACTCCTCACTGGAGCACCAGACTACCTCAGGAGCATAGGACATGCAGAGGAGTGCACCAGATGGGTGTTAATTTCAGGGCTTGGAGGAGCAGACCGAGCTTTGGCATACGTCTGGAGAAACTGTGTGCAGCCCCTGTGATAAATACTGAGTGGCTGAACAGCGACTAAGGCACTCTGTCTCACTCTCTGTCTCTTTCTGTCTCTCTCTCTGTCACTCTGTCTCTCTCCTTGTCTCTCTCACTCTCTGTCTCTATATCTCTCACTCTCTCTATCTCTTATCTCTCTCTCGCTCTCACTCTCTCCCGCTCTCTCCTCCCACAAGTACCATCAAAGTAGAACAATGATTTCCGTCATGAATGTCCTCATGCTGACTCACTGCATCCTTTCCCGTTTCTCCCTCTCACGTCCCTCGCACTCCCTACGTAGTGTGGGGGGGGGGGGTAGTGGCATGGTGCAGTGGACGGGATCTGTGCTCCTCTCATCATGGTGACCCCATCGTATGACGGACGGACGGCCGACTCATCTGCACCTCTGTCGTCCCCTACTTTAGTGGTGGGACGGAGCAGGCGTGATTCGGTTACTGGTGTGTAATGGAGAGTGGGTGCTGGGGTGCTGTTAGGGTGCTACTGCAGGCTTCTAGGAGGGGGGCGGGGGCAACACGAAGAGGCCAGAAAAACAAACACATCAGCCGATGTTAGACGGAGAGGAGCTGGAGCTGTCAAGCAAGTCTGTGAAGGCGCCTGCGGAGATGAGGGCGGGGGGGTTCTCTCTGGCAATAATATCCGGTGTCGCCTGAAATTTGATCAAAAGCTCATCTCTGACTGTGGGGAAATGTAGCGTACAGAGCTACCATTAGCAGGCGGCCCGGAAGCTGCACGCTTGTCCGAAGGCGAGGCGCCCATTAGCAACCTAGATCGGCCGCTCTCTGGCTGCCCGGGCCCCTTCCGCTAATCTTATCACGCAGGTATCCGAGGTTTACACCGACCTCATCCTGTAGAAGTAGCTAGCCCTGTGTGGGCCGTAAGGCATGAAGCCGGACCCCCCTCTCCCCATCCAAGAGGAGTGGCGCTGGGGGGGAACCTACTACCACACCCACCACCGCGTGCGAGCCTCACAAACCCAGCCTGCGGCCGGTACCCCCCCAACTCCAGCAGATCAGCCTGGACTGTGACGGACTGCGAGAAGCTAAAGTTAGCATGGTTGGCGGTGAGTGTTGGTGGCCAGAGGGATGATGGGAATGGCTGTGAAGGGGGTCGGACGGCCGGGGATTTGTGGCGAGAGGCTCGAAGGGCTGCAGGGTAAAAGCGCACAGTGGACACTGGAGCCCATAGTCAGGATGCAGAAGGCGTGCAAATGAGTTTATCGCTAATGAGTTATTTACTCGCGGCTTTGGGGAAATACCCCGCTTAAGGGCAACTGGTTTTCTGGAGAGCAAATCAAAGTGTGGAAAGTTGTACAGCAGGTCCGGGAGCGGATCTGAGGGAGTGTGAAAATCGGTGACCGTGAAAGAGGCTGGGCCAGGTTTCCCGCGTTCGGCAGGACGCATTTTATGGCGGGGAGGACCATTCTATTTCTCTGGGGGGGAGGGTGTTCTGTAATCTCCTCCCTATTCCTGCCCTCTGCCCCTCTCTCTGACATTCATATAACATTTCTGTAACATTCATCCACTCAGCAGTGTGACCACAGTGCACCGCAACCCCCCCCAGCCTGGCGCCGGCATCATTGAGTGTAGTGTCTGGGCCAAAATTCAGGTGACCGTCAATTTTGCTGTGCCGTTTCTTGGGGGGGGAGGGTGGAGCAGAATCCCAACTCTATGCTGTGGAATCAGGGAATAAGTAGCCCCCCCCCCCCCACATCTGTCAACCCCCATCTCTCTGGGTTCCGCTGTTGACACCACTAAGAGCCTGGCCCGTTCTGCCCCCCCCCCCCCGGCGCTCACCTTGGAACCATCCACGCTGATGACCCGGTAGCTACTGCGTGTGCTGTCGTAGAAGTAGGAGACGGTGACGGCCTGCTTGCTGGCAGAGACCCAGTTCTTCTTGGTGGTCGGGTCGATTTGGAAGACGTGAGCCCTGGTGGTGAAGATTGGCTGCTCTCTGCGGTTCACAGGAGAGTGGAAGCGAGGCCATGAGGGGAAAAAAAAAAGCAAAACTATTGTCAGAAATGTAAAGAATGTCTAGCGCTGCTGGAATCGCCATCGTCACGCCATGGGGCTCCGTCCATCGTGGAGGGGTCGTCTGAGTGGATTGAGTTGGTCACATGGACCCCGCTCTGGGTTCAGACCAGCGCTAATGTGACGGAACCCACGAGCTCACATGGGAAGCGAGCGCCATCAACACGCCGGCTTGCAGGCTGGATGCTGATGTCAATAGCAGGCGTGCCATTCCCGTGGAAAAAGTCAGGGCTGGGGTAAGTACGTGAGGATTGGGAGAGGGTACACAGTATTTGCATTCTATCTGGCCCTGCATTGGGTGGGTGAGTGCGTGTGTGTTTGTGTGTGTGTGTGTGTGTGGTTGCCCTCATCAGGCTGCACGGCATTATGCAGTGACACACGCAGAACCAGATTCCAGCAGAAGCACTAAACAGGTTCCTGTCTTATGAATCATCGGGTCCTCGGCCAGAGAGGTTCCCACAGAGACGCCGGCTTAAAATAACCAGGTGGAACGGGACCCTCTGGCAGCAGGAAAGCCTTCCTGCTGACCACCTCGTAACCCCTGAAAATCGTAGACGGCTATTCAGAAAGCGCTTAAGCCCGATTCTGCTGTGAGGGGGCCCCCCAGTCCACTGCTGGTCTCAGAGTCTGGCCACCTTACCCATGCCCAAGATCCCCCAACCCACCCTTGACCTGGATCTCCACTTTGCATCTTTATGATCGTGAAGGAGATCCCAGCATAAAAACACAGTCATTACTAGTCTGGTGTCGTACCTCATTTCCTGGTAAAAGTCTCTCACACTGGTACTTCATGATGTATCATTCAGACTTACAGTAAAGAACAAGACCTCAAAGATGGCCACCTTCAACTCCTAATCACACAGACTGGTGGCGTGGTTTGTAGACCTGATAGTTCATGACTAAGGTGTTTCAGTTTGTGTTTGTACTGGATATCTGTTCACATCACGCAACTGTAATTGTTATTGGGCTGTTAGACTACGTCTCTGGTACCTGTTACCAGATAATGTTTTAAAAGAATAGACATAATTTCAATATTGTTCTTCTATTATCGGCAACAAGGGTAGTCCTGCTGGGTCCATGGCGATTTGGAGATGTTATAAAAGTGCGTTTTAATTTAGGTAATCGGAAAATCTTCACCTTATTACCTCCAGAGGGCTCTTTCAGAAGGCTTTCTGACACTGGAGGTGAGTCAGAGTGGTCGTTAAACTCCTCATGATGTTCTGCTGGGGGGGGGGGGGGGCTTGATGGATTACCATAGATGTTTCACGCTCTCAGCACACAGGGCAGATTTGCCTTCCAGTCAGCAGAAACGGGCTGGGGAGGAGACGGCATTCTTTGGTGGGGGGGGGTCGTCTGTGCTATGTGTGATTGGACCTGTGCCTGTAGGTTCACATGGTGCATACTGGCCCGGTCTCAGATAACAGGAACCAGACGGGGCTTGTGGTGGCTCTCAGTAGGTCCAAAGTGCCCTAAACTGTCCCTGATCGACACCCACTTATGAGCGACGGATCCGCTTCCCCTCTCGGCTTAAGTACACACTACAAACAAAATAAAGCTCGCCTATTTAAAGGCTCGGCTGAAGATAATAACGGCCTGTCTCTCCCTGGACCACGGGCCTAAAAATAAAGGTACCCACAAACGTTTGCCGCAAATCTCGCTACCTTGACTACGCCTGAGATTGTTCTCCCTCCGGGAAGGACGAGGTGGTGATTTGCGATACACATCACCGTCAACGCCACCAATCAGAGCCGGTCGCTGGGACCGAGCGACCTTCCCAGTGGCTCTGCTTCTAGGCCGAGCGACGGGGCACTGCTGTGATTGGCTGGCACACAAGCTAGCGGCACCGCGCAAATATAGAAATTTGGGCTCATTAGCATAGGTGCAAACACATGCGGGTCGTCACTGCAGCTGAGGACAAGGTCACCCCTGCTGCTCCGCTCCTGACCCATTAGCAAAGCCTCGCCGCGGATCGCGAACGTGCGAGACGAAGGTGCGACTTCCTCCTGAGTGCTTACAGCTCCAGGAAAAGGTGGCAGGCTGCAGATTCATGGAGGCCAACACAAGAGTGTGAGAGCTCCTCCATGCCCAGCCTCACGCTCACGCCTTTCTGGGGGCACAGGGAGCCATCGAACCAACCGACTGGCTGATTGCTGCATCAGGCCAGTCAGAACATAAAAGCCTTTCAATCAGAGAACACATGCAGTTTTCCCGGTTCCTTCCAGCCGCTTTGTGAGTTACCTGTAGCCTCTGTGCGTCTTACAGCTTGACTCTATAAACAAAAAACATTTCTGCAGTGAGGACAAACAAGGAAACCTAGAACTTAATGGACCAGTGGCTCTGTGCTACAGGGAGGCCTCGACTGGCAGGATCTGAGCTGACGCTCCGTCTGACGTCCTGCTCTTTCTGGGATAGGTGCACATGGTAAGTGGATGAATGGAGGGAAAATATAGCATCAAGTCAAATGTTCTGAGTGCCTGTTCAAGCCAAAAAGACTCAAAATGTAAAGCCAAAGAGAGATGGAGGGAGAGAGTCACTGTAAACCTGCTCAAGCAGCGTAATTCATTATAAGTGGCCCCATGAAATTACTGTGCAGATCAGGGCTCTCAAACCTATATAACTCGGGGGTCACGGGCTAGGAGCTTCTCTCCAACGGGGGCAACTTGAGCAATTTTTTAAAGAGAAAGTTTAAAGAGAAATGAGAGGGGAAAAAAATGACTTAATGTCTATATTATTCTACTAATCAGCGTTGGGGGGTGGGGGGTAGCAGAATATAGACGTTACATCATTTTCTTATTTTTAGTGGAAAAAAGACGTTACATCGTTTTTTATTTTTATTGAAATATTGACATTGCATCGCTTTTTATTTTTAGTGGAATATAGATGTTATATTGTTTTTTTTTAACTTAGGTTAGTGGAATGTAGTTGCTACATCTTTTTATACTTGGCGGAATGAAGATATTACATTGTTTTATATTTTTTATGGAATGTTGACATTACATCGGTTTTTATTTATTATTATTTTTTATTTGGAAAATGAAATATCGACCTATCGGCGCAGAACTATGTGATTCAACGCGAAAGGAACAGCAGCAGAGGAACGACAAACCAGGCTTGTGGGACTGATTTTATAGCTGAAGTCCACAGCCAATCACACACAGCCAATCATATACAGCCAATCACACACAGCCAATCACACACTGCCAAGGGGGGGCTGCTCCTATGGGGCAGCTTCTCTGCTGATCACCAGGCATGGGGTGGGCTGGTGTTTTTCCATGCCGTACATGTGAAATGTGGGGTCATGGGAGCTGTGTTATCAGCAACCGACCCAGCGCATGGGCGCTGAATCACCGGCTAGGAGACCGGCCGTCACGCTGAAGTGTGGCCTTCAAAGGTGCCTGGGAGCAGCGGAGACCCAAAGAGAGTAATGCAGGGATGGGGGCAGAGTGATGGCTGTGGGCGAAACTAGGAAGCTGCCCTTGCATTTTTCCTTATTAGCTGTAAACAGAGCTAAGCTGTGCTGACAGCCGCAGAGAGACGGTGTGAAATTGCCCGATTGAGGCGATATCCCTCCATCTTTATGAGGTTCTGATTCACTTCAGCTGTGTGACCATGGATGGGCGGAGCTTGTTCCACGGTAGGCCATCATGAATCATTACGCTTGGCATGGCTGTCCATCGATGATGCCCGCTGACCTTTAGCTGGCATTCAGCTGGGCGAACAGGAACCTGTCTGTCTGTCACTAGAGCGGAAGACGTCCCTCAGGTGTTGCCCAGGGCTGCACCAGTGCGGTTGCCCCAGGGGCCGGAGATGCTTCTGTCTTGGGACGTGTAAAGAGCAGCAGGTCGCTCCAGTCAGACACAATGAGCATCCGAACACAGGTCTGGCTGGTGTTGCAGGAAGGTCCAGCATGGTAACCTGGACCTGGTGCCACGAGGAACATTCCTGAGATGCCTGGCAGTGCTGCAGGCAGACATGACAGAGGAGCAGCTCCTGCAGGCCTGACCTGTCACAGTCAGGCCTCCCAGCGAGGACAAAACACAACATGGGCAGCTGGTTGGGTCATACCTGGGGAAGGGGGTGTAACATGCTCTGAGGCTGCTGCTGAATGGGGGGGGGGCCTGCTCAGCTCAATCTCCACAGAGCAAAAATGCAGAAAAACGCCAGCTGAAATGCAACCTCTGTCCTCCTCTTTGAGCGAGATCCAATTTCTGGCACATCAGAAACCATAGGAGGGAGTGGATGAGTGGGTTGCAATATCTAGAGGAAGAAGGAGTCTGGGATGGACATGCTGCGTTTGGTGGCTTCCATTTATCACCTACAGAAACATCCTCCTAGACGAGCAATCGCAGGCCGATGGTCCTGGGCCGTTTTGAAGGGGATCTGCTGGTAGATTTGAGCGGCTGTGTGCCAGCAGCACGAAGTACATCTTCACAAGCTACTGAAGCCATGCTGAGAGGAAAAAGTGAAGGTGCCAACGCAGAACCAAAGTTCAACATTCCACCCAACAGGGAGGAACCTTTCAGTGGCAAACCGGGACGGATGTGTCTCATCTAACACCTACAGAAATAGACTCTGAAGTGGCTCCGTGTTTTTCTGATTAATGCTCTGCAGAACAAAAAGCAAGAACCGAGAAATTTCTCTCCACAAGCTTATCAAAACGGTCAAATGAGTCTCCCAACCAAAAATGACAGTATGGTAACTCCACTGGACATGTGCACAGGTACTTCTTTAGATTAAAAGGAAATGCACGGTGGGCTAAGTTTCAGAGCTCCTCAGACTGACATTCTGGGAGATTTCAAGATGCAGTGTCGGACCTGCTGGGACAGAGGTACCTTCAACTGCTGGAGCTGTTATCAGCTGAAAGAGTCCAGAAGGTGCAGCAGAGCAGGACAGACCTGCTATTCAGAGCACACAGGACCTCAGAATAATCAAAGTTAACCATGATGTTGATAAAATAGCTATTGAGGAAAATTCTGGAAACAGACACGCTGTCCAGACTGGGAGAAAAGAAATTAGTGACTATTTACCGCCGCAAATATCCAAGATGGCTGTTTGATACCATCAATCTACAGTGGTTATGAACAAGTGAGATATCATTTATTTTCATTACTGGTGATTTAGAGACTCCAGTTCATGTCTTTGGAAACCAGAGTTTCCGGAGGAAAACACAGGGAGAACATGCAAGTCCACAGACAGGATACCAATCCCCACTGTTAGATACTGACCCCACTGACCACTGGAATCAATTAATTATCCAACGAATAATGGCATGTCTGCTGAAATGAACTCACACGTGCAGAGTTCTGATCAGGCTATAGCATAGTTCCAATGTGGATAAGTTTGTGTATATGTGTGTCTAGGTGTGGGGGGGTGTGTGTCTGTGTCTGTGTGTGTGTATTTCTGTGTGTGTGTCTGTGTGTCTGTGTGTGTGTGGGTCCTTTCACTGCATAATTTGTGCCAAGACTGAAGATGTCTGTATCCCTGCAGAACCTGGCAGCAAACAGCACCATTTCCCACCATCTGCTCCTTGTGCTTTCTGTCCGAAGCAGTCTATCTCCCTCGTCTGGGTAATCGTTACACAATTCCGGGTCGTTGCAACTAGAGACAATTTGCCATCAGTTGTAAGATCAGCCAGTTGGGTGCCCCCTCCATCCCTGGGAACCCTTCCCAAAATGCAGGAACCCTGGAGAGCCCTAACCAGTGTGGTGAACAGCTCTGAGCTCTGTGGTCTCCCCCCTGCCCTCCCCGTGCACAGGACGGCTGCTCCTGCTTCTTATTTAAAAAGGGAAATCCCTGTCAAACCTTTTCCACGTGACTCTCCGAAGAAATTGGCCCCTTAGCTCCGCACAAACCAGGCAGAGGCAGAGACCTCCATGCCTGCTATTGCGTAATAAGGAATGGGTGTATTTTACAGAGAATGGGAGATCTGGAATATTTTAGAAGGAAGCACTTGTGAGATACAAGTAAACGTTAGCAGAGTCTAATTATGCGGCAAGGGTCATATTTGCGCAAAGGGGGGGCTGATAAGAAACGAGTGAGAAACGAGTACAACAGCAAACTAAAACGCCTTTGAACCATGCAGTTAATCTATAATCGCCGACAAACACAGCTCCGGGGGGCTAAAAAGCGCTAGGAGAGGAAAATACTTAAAATCAATTCCACCGAAAAACACCTCGGCTGTACTCGCTGGCTCTGAAAATACAGCGCGTTGGGATCAGTTTTAAGGACACAAATTTCTAAATTACAGATATCATGTGAAAGGTACTTTAAAATATCTTTTAAATTCTGGCAAAATAAAAGAGATATTTCTAAAGAGACAAGTAAGCAGGCGAATAATGCACTGATTATGATTCTGATTTTTACAATTATTTCATCAGATCTCACAATAAAACACAACAGACCATTTTCTATTGTTTTGAACCCCGTCAGGCTGGTTTACCAGCTGCCTCGCATTTCAGGAATGCTTCAAGAAGAATGTCTATATTTAAGGCCTAGATCTACTGCATTCTGCTTTTTCGGGGTATCGAATTAACGTGCCGCATTAAAACACTGTAAATCTTTCAGTTAACAGTCCGGTAGAGTTACCAATGTTCGCCTTAGAAACAAGTTAAGTTTGACGACGTTGAACTAATTGAGGATAAAGCAAAGAAATTAGAGCAAGAAATTATATTTAAGCGTATAAATGGGTAGTTTATCTTGTCGATTTTTATCTAACCTAATTATTGACTTATTTAAGTTTAAAAGTAATGGCGTTAGTTTAGACCACGAAACCGATTAACTGTTTTGCATTTTATAATTAGACTACCCCTGCAGATATGAGCATGCCACTGTTTTCAGCTTATAACCCCCTCATAACTATGTTTATCCTGGATAGGTTTATCTTTCTGTGTGCCAAATAAAGTTAAGTAACTTCTCTGAATTATCAATGCAATGCTTTATGTAACGCACATATAGGTCGACTGAATTTACAACTTTGCTATTGAGGCAAATAAAGCGAACCTCTAAACCGTGTTATGAGAGGTATAATCCCATGCATTTCATTAACGTTCAATAAATTAGTAATACGGAAATTTTTGCACATGATGTTATAAATGACAGGTTACAGTCAAGTTGAACCTCTATGGATGCACTGAACTTTGTGCTAGTATACAGAAGTCTTGTGCGCCTACGATCATTCAAAATCCATTCATAAAAAAACACGCAACACTATACATAACAGCGGATGTCGATTGTTACCTAATAATGAAGCATTCGATTGAGTTTAATGGCTATCGCACACTTGATCGATTAGGGACACGTAACCCCTTCGATGAGAAAACCACAATGTTGCGTAGCAAAATATGCAACGGACGATCAGCCTTAAGGATGTTCTGCACTTACTGTTACGTTACTTTTTATTTGTGAGAACTGGAAAAAACTCATCCAGAGTCTAACGATTGGGAATTTTACTGCACGGTTTGTCTACCTTGATGCAGGTGGATCATTAATTCAAACTTCCAGTATTACTTCTTGCTTGCTTCTAAAGCTTAGGTGAAAATGCATTATACATTTGTGAAATTTAATACGTAGATTAGAAGAAATCCGTCGGATTCGATAGCAAATTATCGGAAACATGATGACCAGAACATTCGTCCATAATATCTCTCGGCAGTCTAAACTGACCACACAAGCATGCAAAATTGACCTTGCGTTATGCAGGATTTATCGCGGATTTTCAGCGTCCTCATTTAATAAAAAACACACTCTTAACTTTACATACTCTACAGCAGGATGTCGGAATCCTTCTCTCATGTTTTAGTTTGCTGAAATTCGTATAGAATGGCTTTAGTCTCATAATTAAACCGTATACAACAAAACACCGCAAAGCGTGTGAAAACCATATCGATGGATTTTTCTACATATCGGTAGGTCTTTTTAGGCTAATAAATGGGAATTTCAGATTGAAATATGTCTAACTATTACACGAGTGTCCAAATATGCACTTCAATTTGACATAATTTAAAGAAAAGTACTCACCCCATTTCCACGGACTTTTGTAATTAGACTGAAGGGTCTAAAATGGAATCTGTGGTGAACTTTGTTATTTAAAAAAAATGATAAATGAAATAAATCCACCTTCAGTTTTTTCTTGTGCCCATCGCAGTCTCTTCAAGCAGCCAGCAATAAAAATAAAACTGAAATTTAAGAGTGACTCACACTGTGCTCTAAGCGGCAGATTTTTCGCCGTTGTAAATCATTTCCCCTTCTTTCCACTGTGAAGCTCATGTCATTCAAAAAAAAAACGTCTCAGATAAAGAAGAAACAATTTCCCTGACGTTAGTGTTTTCTGATTAGACGCTAAAATGTCAAGCTCTTAAATTGTATTACACTGCTTAATACATCTCAGCAGTGGTAGATACCGTCGTTCCCTGGTGAGCTTCAATTACAAGTGAGGCACACGGCCACAGCAGCGACACTGAGCGGATCCCACCTGCTTATCACAACAGCCTCCCACATACTCCTGACACGAAGCCTGCCCTCTGTCTCCAGGGACTCGAACCGAACAGTAACTAGTGTGTAATTAATATTTTTCAAATAGTATGTCTCTTTCAGAGCTGGTGCTCCGCAGAAATGCCATTGCGTGTTACATTTATTAGATAATGAGAATGCAAAGGCATTCCAATGCACCAGAATATTATGTCATATATGGAAGCGGAAAAGTAAATTCACTGATCGCACGAATGCACGCGCGTTCAGTCACCACACACACACACAAACACACACACACACACACACACACACACACACACACACAAACGAGATCACCCCATTAAAGTACTGTCTTTTTTTCTTTAAAAGTACAGTTAAAATCACTGTTATTAACTGGCCTATGTTGTTGCCAGTTAATACATATACGCTACGTACTAAATGGTTTGTGTGTATGCGTGTGATTGTGTTTAATGGAACTGTCTTGAAACCAAACGCATATTTCAATCTTAGCTGGAATTCCGGGGGGGGGGGCGAGATTATTATTATTATTGTTGTTGTTGCTGTTATTATTATTATATCATGACCGATATAATCATATTTAGAAGAAGCAGAAGAATACATTATGTAATATTTCATAATAGGAACTCTTTGTACTGAGTGTTAACCCTCCTACTGTATTACTTGATTTCCGGAACCATTTATCATCCAGCCATCGGGGAGCAGATAAACTGTTACGCCTGTGTGACACTTTTTAGCGTTCGCGGGCCCGGGTCAGTTTCATCACTGGCTACGTTAGTGAGACGTATGCTGGTTTTCGATAGCCTCAGTGCGAAATTATCAGACCGTCAAAACTTTCGGATTTTAAAAAGTAAAACTTAAGTAAGTTTGCTTTCCGGCTAGGCTCTAATAGCTGACGTGTGTCTGTGTTGTGCTAGCCGGCTGTCTGGATGACCTAAGGAAGCTTTGTGATTCCCCATTCAGAATGTCTGGCTTCCCAGAGTCCTCGTCCGATTTAGAAGAGCGCTTCGCCGCCCCCTTCGCGGCCAAAGACGGCCAGGAAAACCTTGGACGTGATTCGCATCCATCGCCGACGGCAGAGGACTGGAGCGGGCTGGGGGCTGGCGACAATCAGTAAATTAACATTTTACTAACATTTTAAGGGTATTGAATGTTTTATTAACCGCTTCGAGTGGTTGGCATCCTCATTAATAGTCTGTTAATGCTGTGTTGGTAGGCTACCTTTTATTTATACAGCAGTTGGTAATGCATGTAAACAAAGATCTTAAGGTAGTTCCACTTGTAAGGATGTTGTGTAGGCAGCCAAAGAAATTTTTCTCGAGATTCATGCAATCAGAAGGACCGTGCAACGGCGTTGATCTGGGTATGGATGGTAGGGAGGTGTCCCTACCAATATCTTGGGAGTACCGCGTGCTTTTTGGGGGCGGGGGTTCGGAACTGATTTAGTCCCTACCAGTGCTGAAACCAAACCTATGTCTTTGGGACCACGCGTACATCACCTGAACACATAAGGTACACGTTTTTCAATTCTCAGGACTTCCGGATCTCCCGAACCGATCTCTGATTACGAGGAGCAGTTCGCCCACAGATTCACGGCCGAAGACCAGGAGTATCAGGAGTATGTCAAGCGGCCGTCGAATCCCCCGCCGATAGTGGAGGAATGGAGAGGTCGCGGAGGTGGTCACCACAATCGGTAAAGCGCTCATAATTATATGCGACAAAAACTGATCAATAAATATCTTGGCTCAGTGCTTTGGTTTCATAAACTGGGTAATATAAAGAGTCAGCTAGGAGAATACGTCTTATATGTTTACGAATACTTAACTTGTGCTATTTGCTTGTAGGTACCATGAACAACGTCCATACAGAGGACATGATGGAGGCAGGGGCTGGTCAGGGAACCAGCGGGGTTCCCAGCAATGGCAAGACAGGCGCTGGAGTCATGGCAGTGGGCGGGACTACCCACACACAGGGCATCACAACTCCTACAACCAGGGCCACAACTCGTATAACCAGAGGCCGCCTAACAACCGATACTGAGGACCGCCATAGGAGCAAGTAATGACGTATGAAGACACACCGTTGATGCTGTGATCCAGATAATGTCTTCGGGAAAGAGTCTACCATTTGGTGTAATTAAGTAAATGATAGTCTGGAGTTGTACAGATCGATGGTGTATGGTTATGCTGTATAAGTTTTTGTAGTTGATATGATTTTTTCTTGCTGGGCTTGGTGTCGCAGTGGTTTGCACGGATGCGTCACAGCTCTGGAGACCAAGGTTCTAGTCGCTGCCACAACTGATTGACGTTTGCAGGTTTAGTAGCCCAAGAAAAACTAGACTTTAGGTTTGATTAATTGTTTTCTTTATATCAGGGCACTGTAACAAATGCAAAGAATGTTTTTTTGTCTTCGGACTGGACTCTTTTTCATATTTCATGTCTGTATATTTTTCTTGTATCATTTCTATACTGGGAATGTCAGGTTTCACAATGAAAAGTTTTCAGACTGATTTAAATGAACTTTTGAGTTGTGCTTTTATTGTCTAAAGATGAAATCCATTTTAAAGTAATGCTAACATGGTGATGTCATAGGATTTATCCACTTAGAACATCTTTCAGGTGAAATAACTTGTGGTAAATGCATGTGAACTCTGCATGTCAGATTGGCTTGCGATTGTCTCTGTCCGTCAGAATTTTCATGTAATATGGAAGATGTTAATATGCTAGCTAAACAGGGTCGGGGGCGCGGGGCGCACCCTGCATCGCCGCAGTCACTGGAGCATTGAAGGCAAGACAGACAGTGTCCTGGAGGCCAGAAAGAATGATCAGGTGACCTCCAGGAGTGCATTATTCTGCACATGGTCACATGATGGCTGAACGTGCTTATGGCGGTGTTTTCTAGCTCTGTACCCAAGTGCTCTGAAAAGAGGAGAAATGAGGAAGACCAGATATCCGATGCAGCAGCTATGTGAGGTGAGAAGGGATGGAGCCTCCGGGGAAGGGTTAACTGAGATTCTTATTTAGCTATTATACAATAGACTGGATTTATATCAGTACATTGCAAGAGAACAGCTTCAATGAGATGCTTTAAGATTTAAAGAGAAGTAGACAGCTGGCTGATCACGTGACCAGAAGGTCCTGTGGGGGTGGGGCTTGCTCTTGCACCCTTGAATAAGCAGCTTAACTGTGCAGCTGTGTAAATGTGGAGAAAATTTAATAAGTTCATCCAGATAAATAAGCTGAGTGAAAAGTGCCAAGCAGGTAAATACACTCAGCGCTCACAAATTTCCTTCACCCACAAACACGGTCCTTTACCTACAGCTTGGACATTGTTTCTCCTTCTCATCGTAAAGGATGTCAAGCTGCATTTTGGTACTTTTTCCCCATGGTGTTCCTGTAGGCTTTTATGTTCAGGAAGGGTGGAGCCTAAGGCAGGGTGCATTCTGGGTGAGTTCAACCCACTGCATGGCCACACACCAAACATACCCCTATTTAAAATAAGTCAAATAATTTTGGACACATCTTTCATTTGCAAAATTTCCCTAGAACTCACCTTATGTGATTTAAGGAATCTTACAGCTAGGATGTCTGATGCCTTTAACTCTCGTATGAGGATAAGGAAGCAAAAGCCATGTATTTGAATCCAAGGGCCTTCAGTAGTAGTCCTTGACACTTACGTGTTTTAAAATGTTTTCCCCCAGTTAGTGCACTTTTCAGGGCCTGTGGTTTCAGGGGCTCTGTCACTCTCCGGAGAAAGGTTCCTGCCCCCCCCCGCCTTGCCATGCAGCAGCAGTGTGCCAGGAGTTAGACAGTGGAGTGGGCCACTGCAATTAATATGTCATGAAGAACAAAGCATTTAGGACGCTGCTGCACTGAGAAATCTGACTCCTCCTGGGTCCCGTTACCATGGAAACATTTACATGCAAAACGAACTTTAACTGTATCAATCTGACTGGCATTTAATTTAATTGATGATTCTCCATAATCTCTCTTGTGTTATGTTACTGTCCCAGATACATCTATTTTCTAGACCACTAAAATTCCCTGTTTTGTGTGTAACATTCAAAATACTACTTCTTAGTAAAGATTTAGGAAGACATCATTCTGTAGCATGACAATACATTGAAACAGGAGATATTATGACAGGCTTGAATATAACACCAGAAATCTTCACTTTTGTTGAAACATGGTTATTACTTTCTGTTGTGACATAGTCTCTGTTTGGGTGGTTTACCTCTAATGAATTCACAGTTGGATTCAATTATTTTTTTGTCATTTTTGCATGTTAGTTAAAATTTTTACTTGATATAATGAAAATAAAATGGTGTAATTACACTTTGCTCCAAGTAAGATTATAATGGGTCATTTATTGCCGCAGATTCCTAATATAAACTCTCTATTTTCCTCTCCCTCCAGCTTTCCTCTTTAACTCTTTGTTGCCGTGAGAAACACCGTTAGCTTCCACTGTTGGGGGTCTGGGGTCATGCTGGAGGGTTGCTGCTGATTGGCCATGACCGACACGTGGCGTGTCCCCCTGAAAGCACCTGCACTTTGTTAATCTAGCTGGGCCATTTAAGCTCCTCCCTCTCTGACTGCCCTTAACATCCTGCATGCATAAATTTTATCCCCCTGCAGGTTGAAAAGTCGCCGGGTTGCATTTCTTTGTGATGTTCATCCATGCTTGGGTGTGTGCTTACAGAGGTCCTAGTTTTGTAGTTTTTTGCCTTTTTAGAAATCCCAGAAGATCTAGGATGACACTGTGTCGACGGAAGACATGGGTAATGGTGCGAGAGATGCTAAACGTGCTAAGCTAATGAGCTGTGTAATACTTGCTATACTGTAGCACTGTGTACTGCATAATGGTGTGTGACACCAGACAGATGCTCTGCATTGATGCCATTTTTGTGCAGAATCCAGGCATGGGGGTTCATGTCTGTGTGAGAGAGACTGTGAATTAGAGGTCATGTACTTGCCCTGTGGTTGTCATGTGACCAGGCTGGGCGTGTGCTCTGTAAGACACTCGTGCGAATATAAAGCAGCCCAGGGCAGCACAGTCAAAGCCACAGGTAAGTCAGTGTGAAAATATTTCCGTCCAAGTGTTAGATAATCAGGGATTAGTGCCCTATTCAAATGACATGCAGTGTTTCTGGACAGGGAGTCTGCAGGAAAGTAGGTCTGGGATTGCAGACACTGGTGATGCTGTAAAAATACCTTCCCTTCAAAATCCTAACCTTGATTTTAGCTCCTGCCTTTTGTGGATGACATTATCTCTCAAATCCTGGTCCATGTGCCCCCCGACCCTGAATAGGACAAGTGGTTACAGAAGATGGATGGATGGATGGAGCTCATGGGTGGTGTAGGCAGTTCAGCCCATTCCATGGAATGCTTAGCGCTCCCTGGATTTCCACGCGCTGTTATTCCCAGGACTTTTGGGAAGAGCTTTGTTTCTCCTCTTTCCCACCATTCCCATCTATTTTTACTTGCAGAAGGTGACGGCATTCCAACGGAGAGTAGGCTGTGTGTTGAGAATGTTTCTTGCTGAAAGTGCTGATAGAGGCATAGTTTGGTCTGAGTGTCTGAATTTTGTCTCTGTGCAGCGGTGTTTTGGCTGTGTGTGTGATGACGGATCCTTTGAAGATTGTAGGCAAGAGTGATGTGAGTGATGCTGGGCATGTTCCCTGAATCAGCCAGGGCACTTTGGCTTGGAAGCTGATGTTTGCCGTGTTGTATTGTGACATTATGGCTGATTGGGATCGCCGATGGATCTCATGAGTTCCACCCTTTTACTGTGAGGTCCAGACCCTCTGTTTTATGGTTTAGACCCAAATGAAAACCCATGTGTACAGTTCAGTGTGACCAGAGAATTTCAGGCTGCGTTGTGTTCTCATGGGTGTGGCAGGTACATCCCTAAAATGTAAAAATCTGAGCTGTTCTCAGCCTGAGAGCCACCAGATGCCTGCAGAAATACCAAAGCCCAGGATTCATTTCAACGTGCATGACGCTCTGCTGGCCAAATCCGTGCTGTGAGGGTCATTACTGAATTACATAGCAGCAAATTCTTCTAGGTTGCCATTAAAATATCAAATGTAATTTCATAACAGTGACTGATTTTCTGCAAGGGTCAGTGAGGTGCAGGTTATTCCAGGTTTTTCGTGTCTTGGTGGTGATTAAAAACCAGCAGAGTCTGGGGAAGTTTTATAAATCAGCTAATCTATGTGTCATATACTTGTGGTTCCTTCCAAGTGTGACTGTGTGCCAATCATATATTATCAAAAGAGAAAAGGCAGTCCTCGCTGGACCAGTTCCGGTCCATACCCACACACACACAGCCACACATTCAGGACAGCTAAGTTACCCACACAGCATATTTTAAGGGCAGAGGTGGATAGTTCAGGTTCAGAAATTAAAGGACCAGACCAAGATCTTGTTTAAACCAACCAGCTGAGAGAGTTTTTGCTGCCATATAATTGCCCACCTCTGTTTAATGGTGACTTAGAGTAGCCAGATGCAGCTGTGTAATAGGAGCCCCATCCCTGCCCAGACTGAGACTGCGAGGGGGCGGATGCCGGGGGTGCCCTGATTTCTGGTGGAGATGGGCAAAGAACAGCATGAAGAGCAGGCTGTCAGGAGGCCCTCCTGTCATTTAGCAGGAACTCTCTCCTTGGATGCTCTAGCCTGTGCCTGACCATGTTTTCTCTCAGCTGTGACTGATTACGGATCGTCTAATCCCCAGTCCTTAACTGTTAACCAGCTAATTCAGGCCAATACATCTACCCCCCTCCACCAAGGGGGGGGGGCGGTGGGTGAAATCAGGAGCCCTGCTGTGATGCAGCATCTTATCCTACACGCCAGCCTAATCAGTCCAAGCTGTAATTATGTGCATTTTTTATGTGCAAGCCCGCCTCCAAAATCACTGAAGTTACAGTAGGTGCTCCAGCATTTTTAACCATAATTCAAGTATTACAGTAGTATTGCATCAAGTGAACTAACTGTTCTGAAGTACTATGGGAGAGGCCAACATGCGCTTGGCCCTCTTCAGCCCAAGGGAGAGCCCCGCTGGCTGTCCTGGGGTTACGATGCACAGCCCGACACGTGGGCAGGTTTTAGAGGCCCGAGCTGAGCGGGAGCAACTTACCCAGCTGCCCCCCTCCGCTGCCGCCTCCCCTCCGCTGCCACTGCCGTGCTATAATCCCACAGGCAGCTAATCGTTGGCATCCAGGCACAAACCTGCCACATCTCTCAATCGGACCCTTTGGAACGGAGCTTTGAAGGCTGCCACAGGATTTGAACTTGTGTTAAATTCAGTTAACTTTGCAAGGGATGTTCATGAGGGGAGGGGAGAGCTTTGCTAAAATAAATGTAATTTCAAATTCCAGAGGAATTAAATAGACTTCAGGAGATATTTTTGTAGAAGGCCCGTAGTAGCAATTCATCTTAAAACCTTTTCTGTCTGGAAAACAGAGGTGGACAATTCAGATTTTGTTTCAACCAACTAGCTAAGTACTCTGTGACTTTTTATGCTCAACTAGTTGGTTGAAACAAGATCTTGGTCTGGATTACTTTCTGGACCTTGAATTATCCACCTCTGCTACAAAGGAATGGTTTATTCTTTAGCTTATTTTTCTTATGAGAAGACCTAGCTGGGAAAGACTAGAATGCTTGCAAAGGGTAAAAGAGAAAGAGGACGACCGGCAATGAGGTGAACGGATTCATGAAAAGGCCGTGGAGAAGCCTGAAGAGCCTATAAGAGGAGATGTTGGTGTTACACGCCTCATCTGTGCGTCGCTACCATGAGATGACACTTGATTACACAGCAGCTAAGAAGTTCGGGGTGGTACTCTAAAATGATGGAAACTTGACTCATGACTGACCAGGATAAACTGGAAAGTGGATGAATGAAGCTGAACAATGGGCTAAAGCAAGGTTTCTCAACCCAGTCCTCGGGGACCACCAGACGGTCCACGTTTTTGCTCTCTCCCAATTGGCAGGGAATTGGGAGAGAGCAAAAACATGGACCGTCTGGTGGTCCCCGAGGACCGGGTTGAGAAACCCTGGGCTAAAGCAACGATGGGCAATCTTATCCGCAAAGGGCCGCTGTGTATGCAGGTTTCACTGCAACGCCCTAATTAGATTACTAATTAGAGGACTGATTGGCTGAAGAGTCCTCACACCTGGTTTTGAACAGCTGACCTACAGGTTATCCCAAAAACCTGCACACACACTGGCTCTTTGCAGATAAGATTGCCGACCCCTGGGCTACAGTCAATCCAGGACTGAAACAGCTTTGTTTGGCCAAACCAGCTGACTAAGATCCTCAGCAACCTGAAGTGTGGTAATATCAGTACTGCTTCTGTTTTGACCTATATAGCCTGTGCATATCAAAGTCAATTTGTAACTGGTCTTTTTGGGCTGTAACAAGCACCAATGTAAGCCTGACTAAATCCCTTGGGTGCTGATGAATCTGTACTACAGAAGAAGCTTCCTGTCACTCTGTCATGCTTCTCAGTAAGAAAGGGACTCAAACATGCCATCAGAAATCTTCAGTGGAGAATGAAGGGACAATAGGTGAGTTGTCTACCTTATTACATGAAGCGAGATTCACTCAGAGAAGGATTTAAAGACAGTCGTGTGAGGGTAATTCTTATTTTTATACAAGGGATTTCACAAAAATTGAAAGATTAGTCATTTGATATTTGAAATACTGCTGAAAATTAAAGATCACATTACTCAGATGTTATTTTTGTGTTCTTTCTTACTTGTTACTGTTTGTTCTTTATCATATTCAGCGAGCAGCTCTGTTCGCCAGTGGCAATCTGTGCATTTTCTCATTCCAGCTACTGAACACCTTCCATAATCATTAAGTAACCTAAAAGGAGCCAGCAATGACAGCATTACGGTCTCTAAAGCTAAACACCGACTCACTAGCTCCCCTTTGTGTATGAAGATAAAATAACAATTAACATCTAGATATTTTAATTGTAAGCTCACGGCAGGAAACGAATGGAGAGAATGTTAACATACACTGCACACACATCTTTAAAGCAGGTTCTGCAGGATCCATGCTTTTTGTCTGTTACTGGTACAGACAACTTTCTTACCCTGGTAGAAACAATTGGAAAATTTGTTATATTAAAAGAATTCATTTCGACAAAGGGCAACTGGATTTTACCTCAATCACCATTCACGTGTCACTCTTTATAAACAATTCATTAGTATATCTTATTGCAGTTATGTATTAAAGAAAGAAAGTACAAGTGATGCCAGATTGCCTGACAAATGTCACCAAAGCCCAGGAATTTACTGTTGGTGCTGGAAACAGCGGGACGTCACATGATTCACGCAGTCTGGGTACCCTGCCGTGCTGTTCTGATGCCTTTTCGTCTTCCCCACAGGGAGACTCTCTGGTGCCATGATCACTCTTCCTAGCTTTCCAGTCGCCTATGAGGCAGCTTCTGTTTTAAGTTTCTGCAGAACGTCTTCTGGGCTCATGGAGCCTGAAATCTTAACTATTTTCTCCCGGGATCTACACCCCTAGTTTAAAAAAGATCAAACTGATCAAGTAAAACCAGGGAAATTACATCCACTCTATAATACATTATCATTGTTGGCTATAATTATCACCCAAGACCTAACGTGAACTTCAGAGAACACCCTCGTAGCTGAGGGTATTTTTTTTCATTCCAAACAATTTTTGCAAAACTGTGTATTTTAATGTGGAGGTAAAATTCGAACTACACGGATTTTGTAGGAAATGCGGTTCTGAAAAGCTATCCGACCAAAATACAAACCTTGTCTAAAACGACATCGCTTCGCCTCAGCTCCAGCACCTTGGAGAGATACCGGACCAGCTCTGCGTTCGCTTCGCCGTCGGACGGAGCTGCAGCTATACAGACGTCCACGGTCCGCTCGGACACAGCTGACAATCACAAACACAAATAACTGAACCAGCTTAATGAATGACTGTGATATTTTACATGCATCCATTGAAGACGTTTAAAAAAAGTTCAGACACCTGCATGTTAGAGCGCCGGGTAACAGTTAACTTGCCTGTGATAGCATTCTGTTTTGACCCAGGCTTTGCATGTATAGCAATACAGACGAGTCCACTTTTGTCACGTACAACGGGGCCCAATGGGGACTCCGCATCCTCTGCCGCACCTTTGTTCTGTACACTCTTCAATAAAAATCAGATTTGTTAAATCTGTATTTGAATGCAGATTCAAGATTATGCCTAAAGGTTACATGCGTAGCACTTTGCAGTGCAGTACAATATAGATGTAGCTATGGTACTGATGTGCAACATGGAAGTACGTGTGATGCACGAATCCTCACCGTTTTGTTTTTTTTAGGCATTGAGCACTTTCTGATTATACGCTTTCCCGGGAGACTGCAAATGGAACCTGATTTCGATAGCCACCGATAAGGTAGGACACTCCGGTAAAACGACGAGAACGAGATTATATGTAAAGTTCCACTTGGAGGTGACTGTTGTGATAGAAAACGTGGCGCCAAATACCTGAAAACGAGTATTTTAGACACATTTATATAGCCCAGCATAGTCTCCTACTAACGGCAGACATTTTACAGTGATTACTACTTCCGGGCTGCCATTGCGCATGCGCGAACAGCTATTAAGGGGGGGCTAATTTCAGTCACGTGATTTTAATGGTAACTCGCCAAGTACCCCGGGTAAAAGTCGTTCACAATAATCAAAGCAGGTAAAACAAGAACATTTTTGTTTTAAAAATAATCCATACATATATCTAACAATCGAAATTCCTGAAAAAGCTGTAGAGCTTATTTTGTCGACGTCTATATTTGTATTTTCATTTTAGAAAGAACAGTGCATCAACAACAAGAATTTTTTTTCTTCAACGGGCAAGTGCACCTTTAAGATTCGGACCGAAATACTGGCCCTATGAATTATAATAGTTGGAGGAAATAAAAATGCGTCCAGAATGAGTTTCTTTTTGTATTACAACGTCGATGCATTTGGGAGTGCATGGTGTTATTTAAACATATTCTGAAGGTCCTCGCCACGCTGACCGGGATTGTATGTATATTTAGGAGTGCTTTCTTCTCTGTTAATTAAGATATAGAACTTAAAGATTTAAGTGCACATATAATTTTCTTGATGCACATATATTTGCCTATGCAATAAGATACAAAGTAAACTGCAGCCTGGTTCGGGAGGCTGCATTCCAGGTATCAATGTAAAATGAGAGACCGCTCAACAAGGTGCCGGACTCTCTCGTAATTGCTGTAAATTACACAGCTGATACCAAACGATGGGAGAACAAGTACCGGTACAGTGACAACCGAACCCCAAACATCACTGAACCTTTTATGCTATTTACATACTAGCTAACAGTTGCTTGTGTTTGTCGTATGTATAGCATTCTGAAATGCAGCTCTATCAGCATCTGGCGAACACCATCTTAAGTCACATTCATGGAGTGAACGCCAACACACTGTGAAATCCAAAATCGATGTAGTGTCAATGTCAAATCTCCTTGGCAACATCCAACGGCGAGCAGTCGTCTTCCGTGTCGCATTACTAGCATTCCATCTTAACACTCAGGACGGCAAAGCCCAGGGCTTTAGGTATAGAAAATAATTTCAGGTATTTGCCCATCCTCCACTGATGTACCATTATTATTCCCTGGGGAACTGAAGAAGAAAAATGTTGTCTTGGTCCCCGGTGATGTTTCCTGAACCACCTTCTTTAACCCCTTTGTGCCATAGTGAGAATCTGGACCCTGTGGAAAAGCAACACCATAGTGCTTGACCATCTCAATCTAGGAATGGTATTCATGGATTTAACAGTTGCTTCGAACCACAACACACCTTCAGAGTAGCACAAGCAGTGTAGCTCACGTTGGGTAGGATCTCGATGGGCTCCCTGAACATCACCCTGAACGTGTTTGCTGTGCCATCGCAACTGAATCCTGTGTCATTCTGCCCAATCATCTGGCCTTTGTCAGTCTCAATTATCTAAAAGGAGTCATTACATTACATACAACAAAATACGGAAATAAAGTCACTGTAACTGTCAGAAGCCAAATAAAGTGTCCAGATACATAAAGGCATGGGCAGCACAACATACCTGAATATTGACCTGATAGTCCGTTGGTCCGTGAATAGAACCATAAAGTCCAAACCCCACTATTGATATACGTCTATTTACATTGAACCTGTAGTGGACAAGAGGAAAAAGGGGGACGACAAGAGTTCAATCTCAGCACCTGATACCCAGGCACTCAATGCAGAAAGTGAGACGAGAGCAGCCGACATGAACATGACCTTACCTAATTCTGTCACTGGTTCCGCTGTACCCCCATCGACTCTCTACCTGCTGAAACCTACAAATGCTGCGTTCCTGTCCCCTGAGACAACACCTTGGCCTGTCAATGTAGTCAACGCGGGGTTTGGGGTTTACTGTAAAGTGTAAAAACAGATTTACCACCTCCCGATCAAACAATATTCCAGACTGGGCAGGCCCTGTTGCACAAGAAAGAATATCAGACTGGCACCATTAATCTTTCATTGTTCGGAAATAAAAATAGACAAACTTCATAATTCAGACATGAAAACAGTTTAGTCATTCATCTTTTAGCACAACTTAAAAGGTACAATTTAAAACAATTGGCATTTAAAAAATGCTATATTACACTTTATACAAGCTTTTTTAAAGACAACTGCAAGGTACAGAAACAATGAGTACAAGTGGTACTGTTAATGAACAAAATGCTTTATCGGCGAGTAAAATGCAACGTTGAAGTACTTCTATATTTGTAAAACAATCACGTCTCCCTCAGCAAGCGTTTACCTGCCGCAAACTCCTCCACAGTCATCAGTGGGAAGCGTATGAGCGACATTGCTTTCCCCAGAACTTTCTGTTTGTTCTCTGGAGTTAGTGGAAGCTGCTGCCTGTGGCATTCGGCATCTGCCCAGCGCACCACGGCGCCGAAGAGCCGGCTCTCCCGAATGCCCAGCGTGTCCCTCTCCAGCACGGCGCACAGCGTGTCTGCGGCCCAGGGAGCCAGAGCAGGCACAAAGCGTACCAAACGGCAAAAACGTCACCACACTGGGATTTCTCACAGCCTAAAGAAACAGTCCTGGGCTACAACTAACCCAAAATAACGCGCTAATAACATTTATCCATTTTTTTCTTCGGTAAATCACCTGACCTATAGCAAAATTGTTTATATAGCATGTATTTAATTATCTATCATTAGCCACAGAATGTTTAATATATGATGCACAAAATAGTTTTCATTGTTCCTTTGAAGTCAGGATTACTTCCAGCACAATGAATAATGTATCAGTCACAAGGAGTCACAGCAGTTTCATGCTGTAGAATTCAGTGCATGAACATGCTGCTTCGCATGAAATACACACACAGACGGCACAGAATCACCGAGACGCAGCATAAAGACACTCATACCCAAGTCGATGTCAGTGAAGCAGTCGGCATTGAGGGCATCAGCTGTGCTTTTATCAATGGTGTCCAGACACAGACTGGCCAATTGGGGCTCATCAAATAGTCTGGCCTGCGGAACAAGGCGGCACACATTATCAAACACAGAGAAGTCAATACTAAAAAACTGTATTGTAATTATTACAGGATTACACAGCATAAAAGACACGGTAAGCAGTTGTGGTTTTTTTGTGTGTGTATCACAAAACAGCTTGGTGTGTGGCTCAGTGGGTTTGAGGCACTGGATGATCCTACACTGTGACCCTCTATCTTACTCATCTGAAAGAGCAAGACATGATTTGCAAAAAGACAGTTTCCTCAAGAAGGGTGCTAATAAATTATTACTTTTCTTATGTGTATATTACTAGGAATAAATACAAAACGTATGCGTGTTTCAAATTCCCTGCAGTCTCAGGTGATACAAGCATACAAGTGTCGCCCCGCGAGGACACGGCGCCTCGCGCACCTGTGTCAGCAGCAGAAAGGCGTTGTCCGCGCGCAGGTGCTTGGTAAGGAAGTCCACGCAGTGCGCCTCCAGGGCCGGCACCGCGTACTTTTTCGCGGTGTACAGGGTGGTCATCACCATTTCCGGACCGATGTGCGCTTCATCCGAGTAGAGAAACCTTAAAGCGAGCGGACAGCGTGAATGACAAGTCCCGAAGCACACAGGTAGGGTGATCGCACCTCGGCTGGTACGAACAGAATGTACCTCCGCTTGGCAACAAAAAAACTCCTCGTATTAACAGCACTGTACCTTTTTAACCATTCACGTAGTTTATACTGATTGCTCTTTAAAGTGTGAAACTACAGATACAAGATACTGGGAATATAGATAATTTGTGAACATTTACATTTTGTATGCAGTCCACGCACAAACCACCCGACGAACTTAAACCATTTATTTCAAATGCAGAATAGCTGATGTCGTCTCGGCCAAGGCTCACTGCATACGCGGATCGATGCGAGTCCCTTTGTCAGCGATCCAGACTTTGCTGGTAGTTAGTTTGCCTCCTGAATATCCACGGTACCCGCGACACACTGTTCATCCCGACCCACCTGAGCAAAGCGAGGAACGCCGCTGGCTCCACGTCTGGAAGCTCGATCTCCGCAGACGTGGTGGCCATACCCCCGTTGAACATGGCGTCAAAGACGGCACTTCCAGCTGCCAGCACGAATTTGTGCGCCGGGATGCGCTGGGCCAGCCGGCCTTTGCCCACGACAAACCTCACGTCGCTCAGCAGCTCGTTGTTAAAGAGGAACGCGAAGCGCTCCTTCACTGAGCTCTTGGTGGCCTGCCAGTTGTACATGGGCTCTCGGTGCAGGCCCATTACCGGGGGACAAAGCGGCGCGGCTGTGACCGCGGCGGCCGCACCTCTCCCACCCGTGGAACGCGAGAGGTTGGACGCTTCTCCCCCGGCGTTATTAGCCGTACCGCCGCCCGTCGCCATTACGTCCACTTCAGATGCAGTTCAGCTCCCTTGGCGGATCGTGACAGCAGGCGCGCACACGGAGGAACGGCCGCAACCCTCGATCATCCTCGGCGCGGACGTCTCGCGTCCCCGCTGCTGCGCTTTCTGTTTACTATTGATGTCGGCGTGACGTCGCGCAAGAAGCACTTCCGATGTTGCGCGCTCCCGCCCCCTTCTGAAGAAGATGGCCCCCGTCGCGGTAGCGCGCATATGTGCACGGCTCATAGACTCCAACTTCCCATAATTTATCAGCCTCGCGAAATTATTTAGCTTATGCGTTCATGTATTTATGTGGCGGCGGTACATCTTAATTCGAGCGTTATCTTAGTATCTTTATTTTAGGATAAAATAAGCCGACGTGTTAACATTTTCTTTATGATTTGGGCATTTTATATGTAGCTCACGAAAATCATCTTGATATATTTTTTTTAATCATTAGTGGTACATCAGGTGCGCTTACATAATGCATTTCTAAAGTAAGCTTAGTTTCTGTGGGATAGTTTCATGTTATTACTTAATTTATGGAAAGCGGCGGCGGCAAGAATAGAAATTTCCAGTTAATGCTTCCAGTGGCATGTGGAGGGAATGTCATGCACGCGGGGCAGCAACCAGCAGTAGCGCGCTCCGGTGAGAGACGTCAGTCACGCTTAAATAATCTGCATTGTTTGCGTCAGAAGCCGGTGCGTAAAAATCCGCCAGAGCAGTGTGGCTCACTGCAAAATTTACAACATGTCTTAAGGTCAGTTAAGTTCATTTTGCTATTACAATTTTGCAAGAGTTCAGAGGGAAATATGCAGCGAAGCCCCCTGGATTATCTCTGTGTTGCGTTTTTGTCGGAATAATGTCGGGAACGGTAGAGTGACTGCCTTGCAAGGCCAAAGACTGGAGGGGGAGTGGGCTCTGACGTGCGTCACAAGGAATGATATTAACATTTTACATGTTCAAAACTGTGACCTCAATGCAGCTGCTTTTAAACCAGTACTGGAGGAATGTGACAAGGGTTCATGAATATGAGTTTAAGCTAGATTTGTTTCACAAGACCTGACACCGGTGGGCTGAGATTTACAGTAAGCTTTTATCCTGGGGGACTGCTAGCTAAAAGCAAAGTTATGCTCTTCTACTGGGAGGACTGGGTATGACAAATGCAATCCTATGCAAGGAGCCCAGTTATCTTACCCACGCATAACATCCAGTAAACAGTCAACACAGTCTGTCAAAGTGTGAAAACATTCCGAGTGAGTCATTCAAAACAACATGTAATCCTTGGTGTTAGCGTCCTGCAGCCCAGTCATTCAGAAACTTCAGTGGAATCACATTTCACGTGAACAAAGGCTGGCTCCTTTTACCGCAGTCCCATCTAGTGGCATGGCATTCTGCAAAGTCACTTCATGGTTTACAGTGATGCTTCTTCAGGAACACGCTGTAGTCCAGATGATACATATTTTCTATTCTTCCCTCCTCCCAAACAGGACTGGCTCACCACACCGTCTGCATTCCAATGATTTTATTTTGCAAAATTTATCTCCATAAACAGCAAAAACATTTGACATTTGACTACAAACTTTGAAAATGTAAAACATTCCAATTACAAGCATAACAAAGATTAAAATGCAATCAAACTCAAGAGTTAATGAGTTTTTTGTATTTCCCCACAGCATGTTTACCAGCATCAGAAAAATAAATGTTTTTGTTTTAGAAACTAAAATGCAAAAGGCAATTTTACTGTGGTGAAGGAATGTTTTACCTTTCTAAATAAGGGTGGCCATGGAGGGATGGGGCCTATCTAAGGGGCGGTCTTACGCAGGACTGACCAATGAGATCTGCACTGTCCTGAAACCCAATGGTACATTTACAATATGAATATACATCAGGGGGCTGGGATCCTTTTTTTAAAAAAGCACAGTGGATTATTATGTCATATGATCTGTACAATGGTCACATGATGTGTTCAGTAGTCATGGAATTTGTATAACTGTGACCCCTATGGTGTGTTCAGGGTTGCCAACTGTGACCCACTGGCTGAGAGATTTTGAGTATGAACTGAATAAGAAAGAAAGCACTTATAGCATACTAGGATTTTACTTGCTCAGTAAAAACGTGTAGAACATAAGATATAAAAGCCAAATGTATAGACAACTTTTACAAAAATTTACAACTTTTAAAAAAATTTGTTACAGGTAAAGATTCAAGAGCTGTTGTATTTTAATTTTTTGGAAAGCCTTCCAACAATCAAAAGTTTATCCGTTTAGAGTTGTATTAATCTGGCGACTCTTCCGGGGAAGGCGAGTTACATCCTGGAAGAAACGTTCCCCCATAACACCCCCGTCTGGGTGCAGTGAGATGGAGCAAATTATTCCCAATCAGCTGCTGGAGCATAAATGCAGATTAATACAATCAAAACTGTTTTATTTGTTGTGTAAAAATGCCACAAAGCAGAATTGGGGAGGAAAAATTCCTGTTTAATAAAGGGGTTCATTATGTTTATTACGATCACATTCTGAATAAGAACTTAATGAATGGCTAAGGTAGCTTTTCATAACACCGTTCAGCACTGAAGAGCTTTCGCTCAATCACTTCCACTAATTCTTTATCCCGGGCCATCACAACTGTCACCTATTCCACTGCACTCCCATGGGTCCTACAGCTGGACCAGAAGGAGGCGCCGTGGCGGAGATGAATGAACAAGCGACATAACTGAAGGCGTTGGCACTAGGACTGGGCAATATGATGATACTGTCGGTATTTGACGCTATCAGACAAGTAACCAGGTGTCGATATCTGACAGTGACTAACTGCCGATTATCATCTTAGTCAGAGAAATGGGTTTAAGCTACACACAAAGCAAGACAACCGAAGGCTTTCATTCAGCTTCCTAGCCTATGTTTCCGAAGCATGGCTATTGTAGCACAGCATTTCAGAAGCATTGCCCATCGCTGTAATAGTGTGTTCAACTTTGTCACATCATCAACTTCCTTCTTCTAGTCAGCAGGCAGAATCTGAGCTGTCTCAGTGCACCTTCTCCGTGGGAAGCTCAAGCTTCCCAACTTGTGTGAATGGTCAAACTTGGCAAGTGCTTACCACTGTAAATTCCCCTTCAGTATAAGGAAATTGCCAACAGCCCTGATAAACGAGCTACGAATTCCTGATTTGCGGCTCCTTTCATTTAAGGGAGGGAGTGGCTTTCACAGGATACAGCCAAATCAGGACAATGATTAGATGAACTAGGCTATTAACTGTTGTGATGTGCAGACTGTCCAGTACTGAAAAATAAAATACCATGTCCCATTGATCTATTTTTGTCCCATATTTTCCATACACATTTTATACCCCCCAGTTCAGCAAATTTCATTGTGGGGGACCTCCAAACCCCACTTGGAAAGTTTTATTGTCGAGGAACCAAAATTACGACCTAACAGATTTGCATGTTCGGTCTGCATGTAAAAAAGTAACTTAAATTATTGTAGAGCTGTGACTATTGATCAATAGCAACTACTGACCATGGATGCTTCTGTGGTTGCAGGGGGCGGGGGGTCTTTTACTCTATTATCATATATATCGATATTTTTAAATTGAAATATCATATATTATATTTGTAGATATCGCCCAGCCCTAGTGGCCACTCGTGAATGAGACACGTGGGCCAGCCCCCCCCCCCCCCCCCCCCAGAGGCATCTTAGAGCACCAGCGTTCCGCCGTTTTTGTCCCGCCTGAGATCCGGAAGGGTCATTAAAGAATTCCAGTGGTATCTGCTGAATGTGACAATCTGCCTGGCCTGATTGAAGTCATAAGTGTTTATGTGTCGGTCGGCAACCCTGTGTGTGTGTGTGCGTGTGTGTGCACGTGTGTGTGTGTGCGTGCGTGTGCGTGGTGACGGTCTCGCATGCCATTATAAACCCTAAGAAACCTAGCTGATTTTACACACATACAGAAAGTTTTCACGTTTTTGTTTTTTTTTGTAAAAAGCAGAGAAGTTGTCTATAGCTTTGTAGAATACTATTGGTGCTACATTCTACAGCAAAATATAAATATATATTTAACTTAATGTAGAATTGTTGTGTAACTGTGCACATTACTTCATACATTTATTCTACGTTTTCAATTTAATATTTCATCTGGTTACATGAAGGCGGAATGGGGGTATGATCTCCAGTGGGCTTAGGAACGAAAATTTACGTGATACTACACAAAGAGCCAGGCACAGACTCTCCTAAATCGGTATCCATAAAATAACAATACATTTTGAAGAAAAAAATATCTATTTAATTGAAACAAGAATGGAAATGCAGCAATTAAACAGTCTTGCATTATAATTGTTTTTCCCATGTATTATTATTCTTTTACACCTCTCACTTTATCGTGTTCAAACACCCACACATTCTGAAATAACTTAGTGTATATTGTACACCAATATAGCATTGTACCTTGTGTCAGTGACAGGCCTGATTTGTAATGGGCAGAGGTATGGGGGGGGGGGGGTCTGTTAGTGGTTAGAACACTGGGTAGCCACCAGTAACACCATGCCTAACCGCGCTTCCTTCCTTAAAGGGGAATTCCACGAAAAATGACAGCCAGTTCATTCTGGTAACAACCACACAATGTTCTTTCCAAAGGCTATTTACACCTTGCACAGAGAGCCGGCTCTTTGCTTCTGGCCCGAAGAAACTCTCGCTCCATCACTGCGATGTTTCTTTTCTCATCTGTGAAGGCTGTGAAGAGTACTTTGTCTGTGAGCTTTTCCCCTGTGATGACCTCAGTGTCAAGATCACCATTTTAATTTATTTTCTTCTCTCTCAACAAATGTGTTCACCTTTTTAAAACCAAAGCCTCATATCCTAATATTTACAACTAAAGATGAGTTAGTTATTTATTAATTACTTACACAAAAATGTTCTGAGGGCAGAAGGAAAAATGATTGGTTCTGAGAACTAACCAATCAGATTGTGGAGCAGGGTTGTGGGACCCACCTCCTCTATTTGCTTGAATGCCCTCAGAACATCTGTGTGTAAGTAAATCTCCCACAAACTATGAGCTATTTGTAAAAACTAAATTATGATCAGCGCCTGGAGTAGATTCCTTCCCAGGACCGAAGTTCTCAGGTATCAGTGGAATTCCCCTTTTGAACGAGACAGCATTCACCTTCAAGTCCAGCTGTTCCAGCAACAATCAAGTGTACAATTATCTGATTTAAGTGTAATAATATCAAAGGTAATTCTATGAGTGCCTTTGAGCTACTTTTGTATTTCAGTCGTCGTGCAAATGCTTTAATACCCACCGGTCTAGATAAATGTCAAGACAACGCACAAAACAAAACATCTTTACAACAAGCTATCTGAGAATTACCACTGCTACGCAACAATTTAAACTGGTTTCCTTGGTACTTCCTGTTATATATATATATATATATAATTGTGTTTTTTTTCTCTGAGAAGTGTAATGAAAAAGGGCGATTGTAATATTGAGCTGGCTGATACCTGACATTGACTGAGAGGGAGTTAAAGGTGTGTCTTTCACTAGTCTGTCTTTTCAGTTTTTGTTGGGGGCAACATCCTTTCCAGGGTAAACCTCTGATTCCCAGCCGCTCCGTGGTGCTAAGGGACCACAGTGATGTCCCGTTTCCTGTCGTCAGGTGGCCTATGGTTTTATTATGACCTAAGATCAAATCTCAGTTAAAGCGTGGGGGGGGGGGGGGGG